AGGGGACAGAAGCCCAGACGAGCAGGCGTTGCGGAAGCTGGCGCCCCTGGCCGCAGTCGCGGCGCCAGTAGCCTGTGGGGAGTACTGTGATTGGGCAGCCGGGACCCCCAGTCATATGCACCCCCCTGGGACGAACCCACAGGCAACCCCGCCGGAGACTCCAGGGGAGACTCCAAGGATCCGAGACATCCATCCTGTCACCCGTACAACACTTGCTAGAAGATTCCTCTGAAAAATATCAGGAAGAAGCAGGTAAGAATACCTGAGAAAAAATTCTTAGCTCCTTACTCCTGACGCTAGGCTGTAATTGGTCTTTAGTTTTGTGCCTAGCGTCCTTCTCCTGCAGGTGGCGATATTACCCTACAGTACATGAGCCTAGATCTGTTCCCTGTGTCCTTCAATGAACGGAAGAGAAATAAGACCTAGTTGTGACCTTTCCCAGGGCCGGTGGTGTCATAAGGGGAAACTTGAAGAGCCGCGGGAGAGAATCAGAGGTGTCAACGAAGCCGGCGCTAGAGGAAGCGAGGCGGCAGCAGAGGGAGCAGAGCCGCATAACCCGATGCTTCCTCCTGTCACAGGTGGAGTGATACCAAACTCCTGTGGGGAATACTAGTGAAAGCGCGATTGGTTACCAAATTGCTCTTGGAAAGGTACGGCACCCCTGATTTCCCTGATCACCCTATTCTTAACTTTGCCATTTTGGATTATTTCATTTGGATTTGCATTAATTTTGGATTGTTGTACATTAAAAAAAAAAAAATAAGACCTATCCCTATAATATGACCTAGTGTGTTTTTTTGAGACCTAGCGATGCATTGAATTAAATGGCACCGCTTCCACGCCCCCCCCGCAGTGCGATCGAACGCGCGGCAAAACGTTGCCAGCGTTCCGTTCCACTGCAAACGCAAAAATAGGGCAAGCCTTATTTTTTGCGTTTGCAGTCCGATCGCACTGCGACCGGGGGTGTAGAAGCGGTGCCATTGAATACAATGCACCGCCAGGCCCCCTCCCACCCCAAAACGCAAGGGGAAGTTTCGCAGGGATCACGGTGCGTTCCAGCAGCTACACGCTTTCGGTGTGAACAAGCCCTTAACAATATAGAAAAACAAACCAAGTCAATGAAGTGACAAACAACTGTTCCTGAGGAATACACTTCGGCGTTTTTCAACGTTTACATGTTCCACCCACCTACACTAATAGCATCCACTTGGGATAATGGCATCTCCAATAAGTCCACTATAACAAACACAAGCCCATACATTCTCACGATGCTTCTATTTGCCACTGCTAACAGGTACTAGAGCAAGCAAAGTCTACCATAACGTAGTTTCTCAAGGAAACCCCGCACCCTGCAAGTGCCCCGCCTATACCGAGGGCAAGCACCACAACATCCCACACTTAGGGAAATACTACATTAAAGGCGACTACCCTCATGTAACACAATACTTTGCATTTAGACTATTTGAATAGCAGCTCACATAATTACAAAAATGTAGCAAACCATTACGTTTCAATACTCCAGATAAATTATTAGCAAAAAACTGAAACTGATACTCTACTTGCTGCAGAACTGTCAACTATAGAAAGTTAAAAATTGAATTCAGAAAATGACCTTTATTAGCCTAGACCTTTTTTTTTTTTCCTGAGAACCCATACAAATTTGCCACTAGAAGATCACCATAATTCAAATGTTATCAAGGCCCTGAGCCCATTTTATAGATCATTCAATGGATGGTCAGCTTCTGCCACACAAACATTTATCTATTCCTGCATAATGCTGGTATTAACATGCATGTTCATCCTGTCTAGAGCAGAAGCATAGCCATACGTAAGGCGGGCAAGTCAGGATGCAGGCACAGAAGCAGAGTCGAATACAATGCAGCCTGGGGCCACGATGGACGCGTAAGCAGAGGCTGCAGCCAGGAGATAAGGTGCAAGTTTTCTACTTACCTTAAGCTTGGACTGTATTTCTCGAGATTTCCTTCGTGCTAGAACTTGTATGTGACTAGATACCTACAGAGACAAAAAATTGCCTTAACTGTTGTTTAACACATCATAAACCACCATTACAGCATGTTCATGTCAAGTAATTTTGAACCACAATTATAGAAAAAAAAATTAAAACATTACAAACGTTTCTATATACTACAGTCTAACATTCATATACGAGTCGTTTTGTATCTAAGATATCAACAATTTGGGCAAAAATACATAAAACTACACATTTCAGTAACACTGAAATACATTTTTTTTCACAGATGTCTATAAACTGAATCTAACTCCAAAAACAAAAATTACATATACTGTACCTTACTTGCCCTTGGATGTAGTTGCTGCATTCGTTTTCTTTTTACAGGCTTTTACTTCTTGTGCCTTTGTGGCTACACTCATTTTTAAACTGTATCTACAGAGGGAGCAATGGTTGTCAAACTTCCTTTGTTCAATTCAATTACATGGTGGATTGAGGGGATTATGTGTGTGCTTCCTTTTCAGCTCACAGGAAGTGACAAGGACACCACATTTCTGGCATGGCAACATATTTTCTCTACCTGAAAAATTAAAACCAATACAGCCACCATCTCTAAGGCCCAGTGAAGTGCAATATATTACATTTTAGTTTTTGGGGTAAGATTTGCTTTAATCCATCTTGAGCATCAACTACCAAACAGCAAAGCAAAAAAAAAAAAAAACAAGTGTTCTATGAAAAGATCCAGAATCTCTTTAAAGTGATATTAAAGTCAAAGTGTTTTTAAGCCATTTAAAATTTACATCACTTTCAATGAATGCTGCTTCTTGATGTTTTAGTTTCCTGTAGAATCAGCTGGTTTACTGAACAGGGGCCTGGATATCCTGTTTAAAGGCCCCGTTTACACTGAGCGGTTTATCGTGAGATTTCCACTGCAAAATCGCGCACATTTCCGCACGATATCGCTCTGTGTAGCTTGTCCAATGCATTCCAATGGAGCTGTTCACATCTCGCAGCTCAATGTCACCTGTAGCTCGTCGCTGAAGCTTGTCTCTTGTACATGACCCTTTTTTCGGCGGATGTCGTGCGATTCGGCCCCAATAGACTCAATGGTGTTGCGCGAAATCACGCATTACCGGCGATATTGGGGCGACAGAAGGGTCACTTTTGCACTGCAAAATGGAAGGAACGAATGATGTCACATCAAGATCACTGTTGATTGGTTACAGCCCAATGTAGCAGCAACGAAGTGCCGGCCCAAAAAACGCGCTATGTAGTGCGATAAAATGTGCAGTGTCGCTCAATATCACGCAATGTAGATCAAAGCCGTTCAGCACGAAATCGCACGGAAAAACGCGCAAAATATCCATGTCGCTCAGTGTGACTCCTTTAGGGTGGCTCCTTTCCCTTGCAGGGTCCTAAGGAGCCACCCTTGTGTTTGCTATTAAAAAGGACATTTCCACCTTTGTAAGTGATTTTGAGTTTTTGTGGTAATGTAGAGATACAGGGGCGGTGTACATGTGTGTGCATTGTTAGGAGTCACAGGGCTATTTTTCATACTTTATTTTATAGACTCTTTCACAGGCCAGAGACCTAGAAATTCAAAATTCCCTCCATAAGATCTTTAAATCGGTCTCTGAGGGTCAGGTTGTTATCTCTAAACTGCAATCAGCTGATCCCCCTCCCCTCTGAGAGAGCAGAGATGAGTCATAGCTGTGTATGTAAGGAAGAATCTCCTGCACTTGTCACTGTAAACCTTCACTGTGTCCTGTGTCTCTCTCAGATCTCTCCGTCTCCTGGGTCACATTTACTCTCTGCAGCCCCAAGTCCAGGTTCCTCAATGTCCTCCCCCCACCATTCTTCTCATTTACAGATGTGACTGTTAGAAAAGATAAAAAGACATTGGGTGAATTGATCAAAACTGAAGCAAACAGAATCTGGAGCCGTTGCCCATGGCAACCAATCAGCTTCTCTCTTCAGTTTGCTCAGGTAAGATTTGAAACTGAGTCAGAGAAGCTGATTGGCTGCAGTGCAAATCTGCTCCAGATTTTGCCTGCTCCAGTTTCGACAGATCCCTCCACTGTGCGATGTCACCGGGGATGTGCGGTGTCACAGGGGATGTGTGGGGTCACCGTATATTGTTTGGAGTCACCGGAGAAGTGCGGTGTCACCGGGGATGTGTGAGGTCACCGGAGCTTATTTGGTGCGGTGTCACCGGAGATGAGTGGGGTCACCGGGAATGTGCAGGGTCACTGAACATTGTTTGGGGTCACCGGGGATGTGCGGGGTCACCGGAGATTGTTTGGTGTCACCGGAGAAGTGCGGAGTCACCGGAGCTTATTTGGTGTCACCGGAGATGAGTGGGGTCACGGGGATGTGCAGGGTCACTGAACATTGTTTGGGGTCACCGGGGATGTGCGGGGTCACCGGAGATTGTTTGGTGTCACCAGAGAAGTGAAGTGTCACCGGGGATGTGCATGGTCACCGGGGATGTGTGAGGTCACTGGAAATTGTTTGGTGTGACCCTGCACATCCCCGGTGACACCAAACAATTTCCAGTGACCACACACATCCCCGGTAACACCAAACAATCTCCGGTGACCCTGCACATCCCCGGTGACACCAAACAATTTCCAGTGACCTCACACATGCCCGGTGACCCCACACATCCCCGGTGACCCCAAACAATTTCCAGTGACCTTACATATCCCCGGTGACACCACACAATCTCTGGTGACCCCGCACATATCAGGTGACACCAAACAATCTCCAGTGACCTCACACATCCCAATGACACCGCACTTCTCCGGTGACACCAAACAATCTCCGGTGACCCCGCACAGTGGGGGGATCTATCGAAACTGGAGCAGGCAAAATCTGGAGCAGATTTGCACTACAGCCAATCAGCTTCTGTGACTGTTTCAAATCTTACCTGAGCAAACTGAAGAGAGAAGCCAATTGGTTGCCATGGGCAACGGCTCCAGATTCTGTTTGCTCCAGTCTTGATCGATTACCCCCCTATTTTTTTTATCTGTTCTAACAGTCATATCTGGAAATTAGAAGAATGGTCAGGGGAGGGGGGACATTGAGGAACCTGGACTTGGGGCAGCAGAAAGGGAGGGGGGGATCTGTTGAAACTGGAGCAGGCAAAATCTAGAGCAGATTTGCACTGCAGCCAATCAGCTTCTCTAACTCAAATCTTACCTGAGCAGACTGAAGAGAGAAGCTGATTGGTTGCCATGGGCAACAGCTCCAGATTCTGTTTGCTTCAGTTCAATTCCCCCCCCAATGTCTTTTTATCTGTTCTAACAGTCAAAACTGTAAATGAGAAGAATGGTGAGGGGGGGACATTGGAGGAACCTGGACTTGGGGCAGCAGAGAGTAAATGTGACCCAGGATAAGGGGAAGACATCTGAGAGAGACACAGAGAAGGTCTACAGTACTGGACAAGTGCAGGAGATTCTTCCTAAGGCTGGGTTCACACCTAGAAATATTGAGCTGATTGCAGTTTAGAGATAACAACCCGACCCTCTGAGAGACGGATTGCAGATCTTATGGCGGGAATTTTTAATTTCTACGTCTCTGGCCTGTGAAAGAGTCTATAAAATAAAGTATGAAAAACAGCCCTGTGACTCCTGAGAATGCACACACATGTACATCACCCCTGCACCTCCCCATTACCACAAAAAACTAAAAATCACTTACAAAGGCGGACATGTACTTTAAGCTCTGTGTGTCTCCACAAATACATAGGCACAGTCAGGCAAGCCGCTCCCCTCCCCACTCCTCCTCGCTTCTCCAATCTAGAGATGGACTGCTGAAGACTGTGATGTCCAATGTGATTTTGTACTGGACAGGAAGTTCAGGGAAGCAGAGCTGATAGTTGGAGCTGTACGGAAACATGATGACTAAGTGCTTGAGCAAAAATTTAAAGAAATACTTTGCAGGGCCATGTATACTTGTTTGATCTGAATTCATTATTGAAAAAAGGATTGACAGATTACTACTACTACTTTAAAAAAAAGACACTTAACCCCTTCACGACCCATGACAGGACAATCCTGTCATGGGTCCATAAGGAGTTCAAAAGACTCCCGGAGGCTCCCCCCCTATGTGATAGCAATTAAAGTTGAAAAAAAACAAAACAGTTTTAAAAATATTACATAAAATAAATATAAAAATTATTTCAAAAAATGTTTTAAAGTCCCCCGCGAGCACGCGCGTCTTCACGTAAGCACACGTCGGGTGCGCTACACATGTTGGGTATCCATGTGCACCTTGCTGTAAAGCTGGTAACAAATTGATGAGTGCGTTTGCCATTGGTTTTGCTTGACTGATTTGGTGCAGTGATGCATGGGGGGTCTCAGCTGCCTTGTGATATGCGGGATCCCTTGTGCGTCCCTGTGCCTTTAACCAGTTGACATCCGCGGTGTTAAACCCCCTTCCCATCCAGGCCATTTTTCAGTATTCAGCGCTGCGGTACTTTGACTGACATTTATTCCGTCATGCAACGCTGTACTGAAATTAATTTTATACCATTTTTTAGGGACAGATCGAGCTTTCTTTTGGTGGTATTTAATCACCACTGGGGTTTTAACCTTAAGGGGTTAAGATGGGAGACATGTAAAAATCTATTTCGTCCACAGGGTGGCAGAATATGAAAAGCTTTACACAGAATGAAGGCTAAAACATAAACTGATTTATTACCAGTTTAAATTACAGATTACATACAAAGTCGCCACAGCTTCTGATTTGCTTAAATATGCTTGTTCTACAAAAATGTCAAAATGCTTTGCTGAAAACATTAGGAGTCAAACTGCTTCTATGAAGAACAAACTAAGAGAACAACTATGATTAATGATTCCTTTAAAATATCTCAAGATTGCCTTTTCTGCCTTTTTGCAAGCCTAAACTTTCATTGTAAAGTTCCTATGATCACTTCTGCTATTGAGACAATGACCATGGGTCTCTCAAAGTTCACCTTTTGCAAAAATTAAAGAAATGCATAATTAATAATATATATAAAAATATGTATTTCTATAATAATTGCATTCAAGCCTGGAAAGCATTGCAATTGTGATCACTCAGGCTTCTGCACATTTTTAAACTGGCAGAGCTCGTACGGCGAGATGGAGGGAAGGACGGCTGTTCTTCAAACTGCATTAAATCACCTCATACGGTGTCCAGCCGTCCTCGCTCTAGGTAGATCTGGCCATTTTCCCGCATCTGAAACTCAGTACAAGCTCTGCCAGTTTGAAAATGTGCAGAAGCCTGAACTTGGCAGCTGTGATCGAGTGATCACAATTGCAATGCTTTCCAGGCTTGAATGCAAACATTAGAGAAATGCATGTTTTTTATATATACTATTAATTATGCATTTCTTAAATTTTTGCAAAAGGTGAACTTATGCTTAAGGCCCCATTCCCACTAAACCATTTATCGCGTGATTTCGCGCATTTTTGCCGCGCGATATCGCGAGAAGTCGCTGGCCAATGCTATTTAATGGAGCTGTCTTAACTCCATGTCGCTCCAGCAGCACCCTTTTTTCGGCGGATTTTGCGCGATTTTTCTATTTTTTAATGGAGCCCGACGGTGAAGGTCGCGCTACCGTCGCCCCAAACAGCCGCACTATCCTGGCCGCACGGATCCGCTGCTACAGGTAAGTCGCTCAGTGTGAATGGGGCCTTAGAGCTTTTTCAAATCTGGACCAGATGTGTATGAGTTTCTGCATATGCAATGCATTTTGACGCATCATTGACTGGTTCCAGTCCGTTGTTGTTGTTTTTTTGCCTGCCTGTGTGCTTTCAGGTGTAGTCCAGTGCGTTCCAGAACATTTGCATGTGTTTTGGTGCATTCAAGAGCAGAAAAAATAGTGCCTGCTGCAGTTTTTCCACATGCACTGGAACTGAACGCTGTGGTGGGATCTAGAGCCCAAAATACCATTGGAATACATTGGATGCATTTTTAAAGCGTTCTTAAACTGCTCTGCTACGCACTTATCGTTTTTGTGCATTTGTACGCACGGGTTCAGCTAGCTGTTTTTTCACATTTTTGTGCACACGAACACATGCTCACACGAAGGCACACGTTTTGACTGGCAGCTTAAGAAACATTGCGGTCAATGGACGAACGCACGTATAAACACACAGAAATGCACACGAAAATGCGCAACATGTTTCTTTCGCATGTTTCCTGGAGTTTCCATTGATGTCTATGGGGGGAAAACGAGCTGCAAACTGCCAAATGAAGGTCATGTACTTTTTCTGCATTTGGCGCTTTGCTGTTCAGGTGTGAACAGGGGCCATTGAAAACCATGGGATTTCTTATGTTGGGTGTATTTAGGCCTCATTCACACACAACGCAAGCAAACACGCGTATGTGCGCGTAAATACGCAGCGATACGCTGCCCGGACGCATCTCTGTTCCATTCTGTTTTTGCGAATATATACGCTGCGCAAATATACGGCTTCATACGCGGCTGTGTGTATGGAGCCATTTATTTGCATATGTTGCATATGGTGCAATATATACGTACGCTCGTATATGTGCGGCAGTGTGAATGAGGCCTTAAAGCACTTTTGCTACTGCTCAAAAATGCCTAGGTGCAAAAGAGGCCTAATACAGGTGACCCAGAGGCTGGCTGGTCTGCTGTGATGTGCAGGACAGTCTGGGATAGACCTTAAAGAGAAGGGAGGAGGTAAACCTTACTGTATCATTTATCATTATCTGTTTAATAGGTGGTAAAGTATTCTTAAAACTAGGAAGCCACATTAAGTCAAGGCAAACCTTCACCTATTGGCCATATGATGACTGGTAGCATGTTCATATGTCTAGTGTATGCCAGCGGCGTCACAAGGAGGGTGAGGGGAGTGCGGCCCGCACCCTGGTGCCACCATTGGAGCGGTGACACCAAAATGACTAACAGTCATACCTCATCCCGCCGGGTGAACATCCACTGCTCTCAACACCAAGATGGCTGCCGGCAGGCGTCAATAAGACGACCGCACATGCGTAATAACGTCATCGTGCATGATGACGTTAAGGCGGGCATCACCTGGTCTCCGCTCCGGGTGTCACCCCCCCTCGGGACGCCCATGGTGTATGCTAATAACCTACTGGGTCCTTAGATTCTACAGTAACCCATCAGTGCTAAAAGAGAGATGCACCTGAGGGGTTTTGGGGATGTTGCCACCCAAATCACAGTGGGAAATGTGAACAAACCGGTATTCGCATGTTCCAAAAGACAAAGACATTGCCATGTAATTAGCAGTTGAAAATCATCAATTTCAAAACCTTATTAAAATTCCTATAATTCCAAGACTTATGGTTGGTGACAGATTCATGTTAAAAGAAGCAAATATGACATGGTAAAAAAGACTATGGAGGTTAGTGGCCCCATAAACTACACGTGATAAAATGTAAGATTTTTGAGGATCAAAAATTAAATTTCTTCCTCACCTGTTTCCTCGTGCGCGTCTTTCCTGTCCGTAGTTTTATGTATCTGGCTATTAGCTCATTCCGGCCTGAGAAACAGGAAGAGGGGATTGAAGGAACAGATGAAAAAGTGTGAGAAAGTTTTCAGAGAGTTGAGCCAGGATGCACAGCAGAAAGACACAAATGAGATGAAGAAAGAATAAAGAGGGAAGTAAATAACAAGATACATTGATTAAAATGTGGTAAGAAAAATAAGGAATAAAATAAACACAAAGCAAAGACCTAAAATGCAGATTGCAATAATAATATTTTATGGTCCAATTTCTTTTTTTATGTCTTTCATAAGCCAAGACTGTGTTCATCTATGTACCAAGAGAACAACCTGACTCCCATTGTTTTTTAATCCAACCTGGCAGGCAGATCTCAAAGTGCAGTCTCCCCTTTTCCAATATATTTTGTCTGGGGGAATCTGCTTGAATAGGAACTAAACCCTCGAAGCGGTCCAAAAAAAAAAAAGGCAGACCAGAAGATTTCCCTTTACGTTCTGTTCTAGAGACAAAATTATAGCTTTCCCAACATTTTCTGCCCTAATGACAACACTAATTGGGACAAATACAGAGAGAGTGAGTATCTCTCTAGTGGTAATGCAGGCAGCAATTTAAAAAAGTTCTTACCCTATCACACTATGTAAGAAAAGAAAAACAGTTTTTGAATATAGATATACACTACCTAGCAAGTCCCCACCTGGATTGTTGCCAGTGTTATGATATGGGTTGCTTCAGTTGGTCAGATCTAGGTTCAGCAACATTGTCCCCACAAAATGAGGTATACTGAATGACCAGGTTTTTCCATCAATGGATTTGTTTTCCCTGATAGCACGCGCATATTTCAAGATGACAATGCCAGGATTCATTGGGCTCAAATTGTGAAACAGTGGTTCAGGGAGCATGATGCATCCTTTTCACACATTGATTGGCCACCACACAGTCCAAGCCTTAACCCCATTGAGGATGTGCTGGAAAAGACTTAACGCAGTAGTCCGACTCTCTCATCATTACTACAAGATTTTGGTGAAAAATTAATACAACTCTGGATGGGAATAAATGTTGTGACAATGCATAAGGATAAATAATGCCACTGCAAATACATGCCATAATTAAAGATAAAGGCGGTCCAACACAATATTAGCATGTGTAACTTTGTTTTTGACCAGACAGTGTACATTTATCTACATTCTACACAACAGTTTCAGGCTTTGTGTGTGTGAGTGTGCAAAAGGAAGCAAGGAGTATTTTCTGCATCACCAGATTACCGACAAAGCGGAGGAGGGTGCACTAGTAAACTACTCAGCAGGCAGCTCGGCTCCTTGAGGGCTGGTTCACGCCACAAAGTCTGCGTTCCATAGCGTTCGGCCTCTGGAACGCACTGGAACGCAAGCCGGCTGACTCCCTGCGTTCAAGGGCAGGAGGGGGCATGGCGGTGCATTGAAGGTAATGGCACCGCAGCCACGCCCCCCCCCCCCCCCCCGCAGTGCGATTGCCCGCACCCAAACGCGTGGCACATTAGTGCCTGCGTTCCGGTCCAGTGTGATCTGCAAAAATGCTGCAAGCACTGACTTCAATGCACCGCCACACCCCCTCCTGCCCAAACGCAGGGAGCTGGCCGGCTTGCGTTCCAGAGGGCAAACGCTCTGGAACGCAGACTTTGTGGTGTGAACCGGCTCTTAATCTCAATCTTTAACTTTCAGTTTTGATTGGAGCATACCTTTATTTCAGAAATACTCATTGGTACTCTGTCATGCAACATCTGACATCTTTGGGTCTTTTGGTGGCTAAATAATGTCCTGTTAACAGTCCACTGTGTTTGGGTCAGTGGCGGAACTACCGCCGGTGCAGGCGGTGCGGGCGCACCAGGGCCTCGGGCCTCTAGGGGGCCCAGGGTGCCTCTAGGTAATACTTATCCTGTACCTATTGTTTCCAGATATGTATCATAATCAAACAGCAGGATTTATGGATAATGTATTTCACTTTTCTGACTCACATGGTCACTTATTAATACCACAATGCAAATTATGCTTTTAAGTCTGAATAAATGTAGTTGATATAAAATGGATGGAACATGTCATGCTATGAAGCATTAAGAAGCTGAAAGATTTAATGGGGAACTCGATCTTGGAACAAGATGGGCGAGTGATTATTAAATAAAAGCAGTGTGTTTAACTCTAAACAAACCTTTGCGTTTTTCTGTGCCATTTGTTAAGTGAATGCAGGAGACACTTTTAGCCTTTCAACTTTGTGCAATTGTGGGGTCAGTGAGGTGGTGTTTTCAAAACACCTTCCCTCCCAGGCCTTGGGGGCAAGATAAGGGTCCCTGGGCTCTGCATTATCTTTTGTCAAACTGCAGGGAGGAGACTGCATGCTTATGACTACAGGCAAGATGGGTGGAGGCCGCTGCACCTGGGGTGCCTTTTTGAAAGTAATGTCATGTGAGCTCTGATAGCAGTTAATTGTTGTAAAAGTAAAATAAATGACACAGAGTGTTCGGTTACAAAGCAGGTAAGAACTGGTCAATTAAAATTAGAATCGTGTATAGGGATAGAAACAAATACGTGTCAGGTTCAGCAATCACAGTCAATGTTCAAATTCGAACATTTTAGTGTAGAAAGCACATTCTCCTTTATGGAGGGGATGAGAGTGGGTAATTCTGAAACATCCCCTAATCTGTTACCTTGATGGCCATGACAGAAATATTTATTATAGGTATTTATATAGCGTCCGCAATGTTGCAGAGCTTTACATACTTTATGAACATGTACATTATGAAGGTGATCATTGATGACATTCTGAAAATTCTCCCATTCTGGCTATCTCCATGTCATGGACTCAGAAAAAAGCATGAAGTCCAGTCAGTGAAGTCCGAACTCTTTATCTGCCTATTTGTTCTAGGTCAGTGACTAAAAAGCATTGACGCCACTGGATATGCAAGACTACTAAGAAACTAGTATTTTCAGAAGATGTCAATTATGACAGCTTTAAACAACAGGTTTTTTTTTTTTTTTTAGAGACCAGATAAGGTCTCTATAAAAAGACGTAAAGGAGAAATGAAGGGGGAGAAAGAGAAGAGCGGAGAAGAAGGTGTATGGGGAGGCATAATTAGGTGATTTTTCTGTTGAGGTAGGCGATAATGGGATTAGCCAGGACCAGCTAAAGTATTGACCTTCCATGTAGAAGAATTAAAGCGATCTGAAGTCATCTGAGTCCATATACAGGAGCCAGGGTGCCCATGTGGTATTACATTGCAAGTTTCTGTCATGTATGTGAGCCGTCAGCATTTCCATGTGCATAACGCGACATAGTTCTGTAATCCATTCCCTGATGGTGGGAGCTCTGGCTGAGTTCCAGTGTCTAGGTATAAGAGAACGAGCTGAAGAGACAAAAAAACGGAGAAGATTTTTCTTGAAGTGTGAAATGGGTCCTGGGAAAATGGATAGGAGAGCGATTTTGGGAGAGGGGCTAAGGACAGAACCAGTCACTTGATGATAAATATGAAAAATGTGCTCCCAAAAAGGCGTGATCAGTGGACAGGACCACCAGATGTGATATAGAGAACCGACGTGTGAGGAGCATCTCCAGCATAGTGAGGAGGAGCCGGGAAAAATTCGGTGAAGGAGACTAGGAGAGCGGTACCACCTAGTCAGTAATTTGTAGCTCGTTTCCTGGACCGAGCTGGCGAGAGAGATTTTATATGTGAAGAGAAACGCGGATCTGATCTCTTCATCGGTGAGATCGGTGATTTCTCTACCCAATCTTTCCTTTTCCTTTCTTTTTCTGTTTTAGACCATATCCTGTTTTACAAATGACTTCAACAGGATCTATTTCACAACCTAACCAGGTATACATCCACGACCGGACCATATGGGACACCCTGTCCCTGTTTGCAAAACCTGTTGGGTTTAATACTTTACCTATAACACACCTATGTTAAGCATGATCCTGTTAACACTACTTTTTGTCTGTTCTATTTGACTTTTAATGAGATTGATACATAAGAACACCACTGGATTTACTTATCAACCTAGTCAGGTTCACATCGGTACTTGAGAGTTTTGGGAAGTGTTGTTCCCACAAGCAAAACCTGTTACCTTCCCATGATACAAATTTGTCAAACGTGATCCTGTTCATGCATTTACTTGTATGTTTTGTATGTCTTCACTTCGAGATGGAAACTTCAATAAAACTTTATTATTTTAAAAAAAAAAGACGTAAAGGAGATTTTCTTTAGCGCTGACTGTAGGAATGGATGGGGGAGGGGGCAGACACAGCTGGCTCTGTCTCTAGAAAGGCAGAGCCAGCTATCAATCAGCCAGCGGGGTGGATCTCCACAGTATTGTCGGGATCCGTCCTGGCTGCAGCACAGCTCTGCGCTCTCAGCATATAACGGGCAATAGTTTTGGGTCACCGGAGGATATTAGTATATGTCTTCCTGTGACCCTGAAGAGAACTATGGCCAAAAAAGGTTAGGGCATGGTTCTCTTTAAACCCTCTATTTCCTTGCGATAAAAGACTATACTAGAAGACTATACTTCAGTCACTAAATGCCTCTCAGGGCTTGTTCACACGACGTCCGGATTCTGTCCTGACCAGATCCTTTCGCTCCTGCACCCAAAATGCATCCCAATGTATCCCTATGTGTTTTATGGGCTACAGTTCTCATGTGCGCTGTCTGTTCAGGTCACAACAGAAAAAATACTGCATGTCACATTTTGTCCGGTCCGGAAACGCACAAACAGCCCCGCGGTTTAAAAGAAAACTGTCAGCGCCTGGACCGCGGTAAAAACGTGTAAATAACGCGTCAAAAACGCACTGCATGCAGAGCACCGCGTCTGCAGATCCGCACCAGATAAGGACCGGAAAATCGTGTGAACAAGCTCTTAAGCCTCTGACACTTCTGGGAGTGTTGGATGTCTGTTTGCCCTGCCACACATTAAGCTTCTTTCTTCAACCCCATGCTACACTGCAGGACTCTGCAGTGACCTAGGTGTTGGAAAAAACAACAAAGGCACTTGGTTGGGGGCCACAGGCATTCAATA